CCCCTCAGCCCCAGCAGCAGGGTGATGCCACACGTGATTGTGATAGACGATACGTTAAAAAGAAAAAACAACAGACTGGCAACAGTGAGAAGACAGATAGATGACAGCTATAGATAGACAGACAGATAGATAGATGACAGATGATGATAGATGATAGATAGATGAATGATAGGTAGGTAGATAGATAGATAGATAGATAGATAGATAGATAGATAGATAGATAGATAGATAAGATAGATAAGATAGACACCCCAATTCTGAATCCAGAAAAAGCAAGGAATCTTGGAATCTCTGAAAAGCCTGTGGCTAGTGCACTATAGACCTCAAAGCCAAGACCAAAGGTACATATCACACATAGTTGAAAGCACCCTTAAACCTCTTCTAGGACTGGCATCCAACCCACCATCCTGCCTCAAGGCTGGAACAAATCTTTTGAACACGATACTACTCACCATATGAGTAAAAAATATATATTTCTCTTCAAATACTACAAACACAGTTTAAAGCACTCAGATACTCACATTTTAAAAATACACAAGAGCTGAGATTAAACAGAGAAGAGCTGATTTGTCTCTCCCATGTCAAGCTGCCTCAGGGCCATAAACTCATTGAGTGGTAAGAGGGGAAACTGAGGCACTCTCCAATCAGTGTCTCTCCATCTGTCTATTGATCCCTGTCTTTTGCCTCCTGTGTTTATCTCTTTCTCTGCCTCCATCTCTTCTCTACCTTTCCTATCTTTCCAGCACCACAGCATGTAAGTGAGTGGGCTGCTGGAGCAACTACACTGTCACAAAGAAGACCACGAGACTGAAAAGCACTAAGGAGGAACCCAAGAAGGGAACATGTAAAAAAACCCTCACCAGCACTCAAACTGTCTCTGCCTCTAGTAGCTTCTTGTTCTTAAAAATGTCCTCATTAAGTGGGATTGGTGTTCAACTGCTGGTTTTTCCTCTTGATTTTAGTAATCACCATTATAGGAACATACTGAAGTAAGCTGTTTTGGCAATCCACGCACAGTTCACACATGGGTGGTTTTGGTTCTTCTCAATTAAATTTCTTGCTTCTAAATTATTAAATAAAAGATTCCCCCTCAATAGTGTGTGTGTAGAAAGGTCACAAACCATGTGACACAGCGGACCACACAGGATCAATTTTGGTATCTGACCAAATCCCACCCTAACGCTGTCTGGCAGGTCACCAAACACACTAACTCCTGTTATACTCCAGGCACCTGCCCTGGGTCTGTCCCTGATCTGGCTATTGTGGCACAACCTATGCCCATTCACAAAATTATGGTGGTCCCAGTGCCAACTAGACCCTCATGTTTTTGTGTCTGAGAATGTAGGGTTCTAAGCTAATTTATTAAACTGAATCAATTCACAAATGACACTCAAAACTGCTACACATGGAGATGAGAAAACTCTGAAAAGCTTTACCTCTGATCAGAGAAGAGATGAGTCCTGCCATCCCCTGCCCCTGGTCAAATGCTCAGTACACACACACACACACACACACACACACACACACACACAAAATTTCCTTCTCCACTTGCCAACCTCTGAACACCATGACCAGCTCTCACTGAGAACTTGAAAAAATATCGAGAGAATCGAGAAAAGGCATCCAGCATAAACTAACTTTCTCATGAACCAAGGAACTGAAGACACAGGCTTATTTGATTCATCCAGCAAATATTTACTGAGTCCATTTATTGAGTACCTACTGGGTACAAATCTCCCTTTCACCTAGATAATGCCCTGACACCAGAAATTGGCTAGGCTAAGTTATTATAAGTCTGCCCTCTATCTCTCCCCAGATCTTCTTTCCTCACTTCAAGAACTTTTCTTGGCCTGGAACAATCTTCCTTCCAGAATTCTCTTACATAACCACATCAAGTTGCCCACTCTGGTTTCATCTGCTGGCTGACCTAGTTCCAGCTTACTAGGAAGTAGTAACAATCCATCCTGACCCTGTACACCATGTGCACATGCCCAGCTCAAGTTAACAGGCTATGTGACTGGTTGGAACCCCCCCCCGCCATCACCCCCATCCTTTAAGGGAAGGAGTCTCGGTTTTCTAAGAAGAAAAGAACTTAAGAATGTGTTGACACACATCCCAGAGACCAATTCACCCTTTCACATTGCAACATTATTTTCTTTCTAATATCACAGTAACTGATGACTGGAGAGTTTAACCCAAATTTGCTTAATATTTCGACCTAAGAGCTTGAATAAATTTTGAAATGGAAATCACTACCACGTTTTGCCTCTACAAGAACCAAACATTCTTGTATCTGATATCCGTTCTCCTCAAACTGTACATGAATATCATCTACCACCAGCCATAGGCATGGGTCAGGGTGCCACCAAGGGGAAGATAGAGTGCCAGGAGGGAAACAAAACCACCAGATGAAATGGCACACCAGAGAGACAGTTTGCCCTTGGAAGAAAATATTTTATATTAAAACAAGCTCCTATATTATGCAGTAAAATGAACCAATACATGATTTTTTAAAGATAAAAACTCAAGACTTCAAAGAAAGTTCCTGCTTATAGCAATCTGTCAGGCTATGTCAACAATACATGAAGTTTCCTGCAAATAACTGTCTTGCCTTTAAATGGGCTTTGAGGAAATTTCTGAAAAATGTTTCTTTCACCCACACTATGAACTTCTTGAGGGCATGAACTACATCTCATCCTTCCCTTTGTCTCCAGTGACCTAGGACAGTACCTAAGATAGTGTCTGGCACAAAACAAGTACTCAATTATGTTTGCAGAATTAATTTGGCTGAAATAATGGCAGCGGCATTATCAATAACGAAAGATTTTTATCACGTTTGGATGGGAGGAAGGGAAGGAGATCAGGTGTATGAGGAAGTGGAATAGAAGCAATCCAATTTACCAAAACAGTTTTGGCTGCCATGGTAACAATCAGACGAAGCAGCTCTGTTTAGTTCTTTCCCACTTAAACAAGTACAGGAAGGCAAATATTGTACTTGCTAATCTCCCATTAGAAGGGGGTGGGGCTTAGGACACAAGTCTACCAGGTGACACAGGTGGCCATTAAATTTCATAACCTTTGAAGAGTTTGACAAGGTGTCGTAATAATAATAATATCACCAATAATAAGTTCTGGTTTGTACACTGATCCTAGGAAGGTTATTTTAATCATTTAATGGTTACGTGTTAAATAACTGCTCCTGAGATCTGGCAACCATGAAAAGCAGGTCCATATGTGTGTGTACATATAGACATAAAAATAATATGATGTGAACTCATCTTTCTTTATTCCTAAAATTGTTACTTTTTTAACTAGCTGGACCCCAAACCAAGTCACAAATGAAATATGATTCAAAGAGCAGAGTTTATAGCAATGTTTAAATTTTTCTACTTCCCTGGTGGAGTCATTGCATTTTAACTCATTTGTCAATACTAGAAAAGATGGGTATCACACCCACTTTCTCTACACAATTCCTCTTACACTGCAATGAGTCAGTCTCCAGGCCAGGGTTCCCTGTACTACTTCCCAAACTGCAGAGAGAACCTGGGAGGAGGCGGAAGTGAGGACTCCTTGCCCTTCAGGTCCACTCTGTGAATGGGTGAGCCAGGCCACTGCCACCTCCTAGGGCTCTTTCCTTTTCTGAGTCTTCTGTCTCAGATACGTGAAATGCCAACCAAAATGATGCCTTACAGATTTTCTTAATAATGACAGCCAGAGCTCCATAAAGTTTCAACTAAAATCTAAGCAGAAAGCAAATCACATGATCTCGCTCATATGTGGAATCTAATGAACAAAATAAACTGATAAACAAAACAGATCCAGAGACATAGAAGCATGGAACAGACTGACAGTTTCAGAGGGAAGGCTGGGGTGGGGAAGTGGGAGAGGAGAGATTTTAATCAAAGAACTTATATGCATAACCCATGGACACAGGTGTAGAGAAAGCCTGGAAGGGGCAGATGCTGGATGGAAGGGATCAATGGAGGGTTGGAGGGAAGTGGACATCTGTAATACTTTCAACAATAAAGATAAATTTTTTAAAATAGCATCCAAGTCCAAAAAAACCCAAAACCATTTTACAGCATTCACCTATTTGTCACAGTGCCTGAGGAAGAAGTGATAGCAGCTGCCTGAGAAATACCATCACACCAGGCAAAGCCAAACGCAAATCAATCTCAAATAAAAAAAAAACAAGTAGCTTTCCCTCCCTGCATCCCCTTTCCTGCTCAGAATTAAGTTAGTAACTTTCTATTACGTTATTTCTGTTGGAGTCATAGGAGTAGAGAACTTATTGTATGATTTTTATCATTTTATTCTGTTTTACACAGTGTTTTTCAATTCACAACATCTGGGATCAAATCGCTGCTTTTTTACTAGCTTTGCGATTCCCTTAATATTTTATAGGCCTAAATTTCTGGGTACAAGTTTCTTCATCAATTAGAGAAAAGAAAGTCTACCCCCCAAGGTTATTCTGAAATTTAAACAAATGAACTCTTGTAAAATGCCTAGTACATAGTAAGCATCAATGACTCTATGTGTCCAGCAATAGAAATGCCTAACAATGTCTCTTTTTCTACTTATTAGTAGGAAAACAACACATGCAAAAATTGCTACAGAGAACACCAAATTGGCAAAGGGCCCGGGGTCACCACCGCTCGGGCTCCCGGAAGTCCTCCAGTAGATGCCACAACCAGGTGGCACTGAGGGGCCAGCTCTCCCAAATCCACGTCCTGAGAGAATCTCTGGACGCCGAGCATTTCCCTGTGGCCCTGTAATGAACGAGGAGCCTTCTGCAGGGCTCAGGAATGCGCAACTGAAAGTTTCTCCCCTAAACCCTGCCTGAACGCATTCCCTTTCCTTAACTCTTGGGGGATCTCGGTCTTGGAAAAGCTAGTGAATCGGTGAATGGAGAAAAGCAACTCCCGGAGAAGAGCGGGGCTCAGGGGGTCTGCGCAGGAAACACCGCTTTCCCCTCCCGCCTTCCAGCCCCCGACACGCACCTGGGGATGAACTTGGCCTCGTCCCCCAGTCGAGCCTGGAAGTCCTGCCACGCGCGGCCGGCGCCCCGGGGGGCTGGCAGCGCCTCGGGCGCGGCGTCCCCGTCCCCGTCGTCCTCCT